TCAAAAAGCAAAACAAAACAAAAAAAATAATTAAATTTCCTAAAGTCAGGACATGCACTAGATGTTCTCTGGGTACAAAGTACAGCACTTTGTTGTTATAACAACCTTAACTATTCTCAAAGATTTCCTAAGGACTATCATTTAATTCAAAATGATGAGCAAAAGGAGAAATGTCATAAGCTGTTATACAGAGAAACCAAATAACGATGATGATGATGATGATGGTCCCCCTGCTAAACAGAAAACCTAGAAGATCAAACAATAATTTTTCGGGGGAAGGAGCAGGGGTTCAAGACAGGGTTTCTCTGGAGTTTGTTCTATAGACCAAGATGGCCTCAAACTCACAGAGATCCATCTGTCTCTGTCTCCCAAGTGCTGGGATTAAAGGCATGCACCACCACTGCTCAGCATAATAAGACAAAATTTTTAAAAAGATCAACAGTAGGGCTAGAGAGATTGCTCAGAGGTTAAGAGTACTGCCTACTCTTCCAGAGGTACTGAGTTCCCAGCAACCACATGGGGCTCACAACCATCTATAATAAGATCTGGTTACCTCTTCTGGCCTGAAGGGATACATGCAGGAAGAACTCTGCATACATAACTATTAAATAAGTTTTTAAAATTAAAAAAAGATCAACAGTAAAAGTTTGGTCTGGATATAAAGCTCATCAGAGTGCTTGCCCTGCATATATGAGACACCCTGGGTTCAGCAACAATAACAACAACAACAAAAAATTAAGTTTTTGAGCTGGATATGGACGTGTATACAATCTCAACAGTTAAGAGATAGAAAATACTAAGTAACAAAAGGGCAGTCTCGAGAAACAATTCAAAAGTAAAATAAAAACATCAGTAACAGGCTGGAGAGATGGCTCAGCAGTTAAGAACACTTGACTTGTTCTTCCAAAGGTCCTGAGTTTAATTTCCAGCAACCACATGGTGGCTCATAACCATTCGTAATGAAATCTGGTGCCCCCTTCTGGCCTGCAAGTGTACATGCAGACAGAATACTGTGTACATTATAAATGAATAAATCTTAAAAAAATATCAGTAACAATAATAGCTACTATATTAAATGGAAACTATATGTCTATATACTTTGTTCTTATTTAATTCATGTATCAACCCAACAATGAGTATTAATACCCTCTTCAATGTGTACAAATAGTCCTCACTCTATTACTTTCTGTAATTATTACAAAAAACAAAGAGAAGTAGCTATATATGTCTGAATAATGGCAAACAAACAATATATATCTCCCACTTCAAAAAATCCTTAATTCTTTCATTTTTAGCTATCAATAACACTTAATGTGGCATTGGGTCCCAAAAATAAACTAGGAAGAAATCCCGTAGTCCTTTTCTTTTCTTTTTTTTCTTTTATTTCCTTTTCTTTCTTTCTTTCTTTATTTCTTTTTCCTTTCATTTGGTTTTTCATGACAGGGTTTCTCTGTGTAACAGTCTTGATTATCCTGGAACTCTCTTTGTAGACCAGGCTGGCCTCGAACTCACTGAGATCTGCCTGCCTCTGCCTTCTAAGTGCTGGGATTAAAGGTGTGTGCCACCATGCCCGGCTCAACTTAATATTCTAAATTGTGGATTTGTGTTAAATACACCTTTACGTATTACATATGAGCCATTTCATAATTTAAAAAGATATGGCCAGGTTGGAGAATCAGAATTCTAGAAAATAACTCATACTCTGTCACTTATTGCCCTTAAACAAATCATTTTATTACTTTTAACAGCATAGCTGCTATTTGCTAGATTATGAAGCTAACCGCTTTTTTTGATATTTTATGAACTGCTTAAAGTAACTAAACTATAAACGTACAAACTGTAGATGAATTATGATTTCAAAGTAATATAACTTATTTATAACTAATAATAACTTCTTTATAAACAAAAGAATGTCATAATACTAAGAAGTAAGTCAGTGGCAGGTGAACCATTCACCGTTCTAGCTTCTGCCCATCTCTCCAAGATAATGAAAACTAATATTGTTTAAACATGTACTACATAACACATTGTGTTAAATACTTTCTTAACTTATTCTATTTAACCCACAAAACAAACTTAATGAAGCTAATTTTATTTCCTCACTTTACAGATAATCTCGTTGTGCCCAAGGTCACATCTAGTAGCAGTGAGCTTCAAAATCCACACATAAACTACCACATTCATTTTGCCTCCCTTCTGAACTGAAAACAGTCTGTCCTTCCCATGACACTGAAAGCTCCCTGACAACTGCTCTTGGCTCATCTCCGTCTCCCCTCGCACTGAGCAGGCATTAAATAAATAGTGGACATACATTTTATATATACACAAGGTATTTAAGACATGAACTCGTTTGTCTCCTTTGAATGTGAACTATGAATGTTTTATTTTGTCATTTTACCACAGTTAAACACAAGATTTTCAATGTATTCACAGTGTTATGCAATAATTACCACTAAGTATAAAAAGTACATATACTTTTTTATATAAGTATAAAAAGTCATATAAGTATGACTTTACTGAAATCAGTCCCCTTTCAAATACTGAAATCAAAACTGGGGTTTGAAGTCAAAACCCTTGATTCCTAAATTCAGGGGCTCTTCATTTTCCCTAGATTTGATTCTCTTTTGAGAATTCCCAATCCCTCCACCTGTTCTCTGCTTTTCCCCGTTGTCTGCTTCACTACTGCACAGGTAACCATGACTATAGGAAAAATATATTCACTTCAATATATCATAGTTAATGTAAAATAAATCCAGAAAGTTGTTTCCCTAAAGATGTCCCCTCTCTTTATACTCCTCTACCTTCTATCATCAGCATTCTACCGCAAGAATAAACTTATCTCAAGCTTTAAATCGAATTTCTGATTAAATAGATGGAGTTATTGTTTTTGTAGTTACTGCAACATGCCTACATCAACATCATCCCCTTAAAAATAAAATATGGCTGCATACTTCATTTATCCACACCTGGCAGAATTCTGATTAGTTGAATTCCTTTAGAAGAAAATCCAATCTACAGAAACAATCCAATTATTTTAAATCTTATCAAGTAATGTCAAAAGAGAATCAAATGAACAACTCCATCAGTACCAAATGAGTATTTATTACATTTCCCTATTTCCTGTCTTCTCTGTGTTTACATAAAGTGGTAATGCCAAGACTCATCTCAGGATTATTAGTCTGCAATACAAAGATGGGCCTAATTGCCTTGCAAACAAGGACACCAGTAAATGGAGTCTTCAAGCAATCAATTTTATTGGGGGAAGAGGAGCTTGCTAACTTCTTTCTACATACATGCACCTTGTCTGCCTAGAAAATAAATTCAGTTTTCCTATCTTTCAATATCATTAATCAGTTCTCAAGCAAGAATGCACCCTTAACAACCTCAAGTTCATCAAAGTCCATTTAAATGACAAATTCCAAAACTAGTTTTCAGTATACTGGGGGAGGAGGGAAAAGGAGAGGGCAGAGACAATTTCACTTTCTCCCACCTTTACTTTGAAAGGAGGTTCCCCCAACCCCCAAGTTTCTCTTTGTGACATAGGAATGGCAGGACAACCCCCCTCCATTAATTCTACCTTAAATGAAGGTTCTCTCAAAACTTTACCCTTGGGCTGTTATTTCCAGACAATACCAACATAGACCAAACAAAAAGGTCAAACTGACAGCATAAGATTCCCCCAGGAGACTGTTTAATGTACCTTCTCTGTCTGTTTTGGAAGACCTTCTAATGACCTTATTATTATTGTCTCTCACGAAAGCAACCATGTTCTTTAACATGTTAAGTGTTATAGCCCCTAAACCTCTAGTGTGTCTCAGAGGACATCCTTTCCTACATAAGCCAGTCCACTCCTTCCCAGCACTGCTCACTGGCCCTCTGCATCCTCTTTGTCCCAATGGTTCCCAAAACACTGGCTCTCCCACGTCTTAAATTCACCCTCTGCCACCACACCACAGGTAACCAGCTCATCAGACATTTCCTGCAAAACTGGCAGAGACATTCTCTTTAAGACACCATCCCCTAAGCTTGCTCACCCTCTGCCAGTATTCTTCCAGTGAGTCCAGCTGAGTAAGTAGTCTTACGTACCCTCTGCCTCCAACTCATGCCCAGGGGAGCCACCTTGCTTCCTCCAGTGCCTCTAAACTCACCCTAAATCCTTTTTCACTGTGCCCTCATCCCCAGTTTCAATCCCTGCCTTCCTGTTTGGGGCCGAACATACAATTTACTCCCTCCTGTCAGTTTACCACCCATCTCCTGTAGCTGGAAGTCTCGCCCCTCCCAGCCCATATTCCAACCTCCAGCAGCCGACCCCCAGAAAACCCCAAACAAATTCTACCACTTCTGTTCTCTCCAAACTCAAGCTATTTCCTTAAGTATCCACAAATTCTACCATCCCCAGAAGTCCACTTCAAGCTTAAGTCTCAACCCATGGCAAACCCCTCATCCCCAGCTCCTACCGTCTCCATCAGCCCCAAATCCCACCTTCCAAAATTAGCACTCCGCGGAGTCCTAGCCAACATTTATATCCCACTCCGCATTGAAAAGATCTCCTTAGCCCCCACCCCAGCTCTGACCCCAAGCTGTCAACTGCTTCAGGCCAACCCCAAATCATCACCTTCATTCAGTCCCCTCCCCCATTAAAAGACATCCCCCCCCCCCGTCTCACCTTCCACCTCGCCCCAAAGACAATCCCAAATTCCACCTCGATACCCCCCACACACACACACACCATGCTCCCGTCCCAGGTCTGGTACTCCCTTCTCCACGTAAAGTCGCCCCCCTCCCCCGCTACCCTCCCTTGACCTGCTGGTGTCCCACCCTCACCCAACCCCCAGCCCGCGCTCGGACAAGTCTCCCCCACCAGCCAGCCGTTCCATCGCCACTTCACTCCCCTCCCCCCAAGGCCGGCGTGGGAGCCCCACGGCCCCCACGCTCATTCTCGGCGGCGCCACCAGCCCAAGCTCCACGGGAGCGGGCCAGGGGTCCGGGGGTCTCCTCACCGGCGAGCTGCTATAAGAGAAAACCGCGGCGGTGGCGGCAGCTGAGGCGGCGGTGCCCTTGTCTTCTCCGGAGACTACAGCGGCGACGCTCTCGTTCCCTCGTCCGTGTCCAGTAGGGTGGTGGATGGCGCGCAGGGACGGGAGCCTCCTCCTCCTTCTCCTCAGCTACTCGGCTCTGAATCCGCCGCAGTAGCCGCGGAGAAACCCGACGGTGGGGGAAGGGGACTCTCAACTGCAGTCAAGAGAGGAGGAGGCTGAGGGAGGGGGCGGGGGACCGCTGAGAAGGGCGGGGGAGGAGGAGCCCGCACGCCATCCCGACACGTCCCACAACCTCAGAGCTCAGGGACTACAACTACCGGCATGCTCTGCCGCGGCCCTGCGCGGCCTGCATCTTCCAACCGCGCGCCGGTCCTGGGGCCGCACCCTCTTGGGTCACAGACAATGGAATGAAGCCGGCCGTCTACGGGAGACTTTTGTAAACTCAAAGAACGCTTGGGAGGGAAGTCGGATATTTCTTCAGCCTCATCGCCATGAAGCAAAAGTCTCTATGTCTCCAACCTACACAAGCACTCGCTTCCGCCAGAGGGACTACACCTCCCAGCATGCCTCACACAGCTGCCCTCCTCTCCTTCCGAACCCCTCTCAGACCCGGTACTACAGTTCCCAGGAGTGTAGTCCTTGCGAAATGCTGGGACATGTAGTTCTCAGTCCTTCCTCCATGTTAAGAAAAAGTGAAAGAGAGGAAAGGGGGAAGGACTTTTACTAGCTTGGGCCTAGATGGCCTACATCATCTGTAATTCTGTACTCTCCTCGCCATCCCCGTTGTCACTGTCTCTCCAGAACTAACGCAGCAGCCGCCTCACTGGCTTCCCTGCAAATTAGAGAACAATTCTGCAACTTAAATTGGCATGTGAAAAGGACATTTGTTTACATTTACATTACTTATAGGTATTTAATTTGCAAAAATGATCGAAAATTTTAGAAAAAAATGACCAAGGTTTATGGAGAAGGTTGTTGAATAGGAGGTGAGAAAGATGTAGGTATCCATCAGTATGGGCTGATTCAATAAATGGTGCTTAGCAGTGCTAAGCAGCCGTTTAAAATCTGATAAATATTTTTAGACATTGAAGGCTCTTCACAATTTGCTCTCAGAAGGGCAAATTGGTTACAAAAACAGCATAATTAGACAGGTTCGATTTATTTGAAGTTTGAGGATTTAAAAGCATAACGGTTTCAGAAAAGAGATTCTCCAAAAGGATATCAGAGGTTATCATTGAAAAAGGTTTGTTAGGTTTCAAGTTACTCTTATTTTATATTGCCTGAATTGTTTAAGGGAGTACACACCATTTTTTTAAAAGCTGAAAGGCTATTTGCCAACAAAACAAAACAAAACAAAACAAAACAAACAAAAAAACTATCTCCAAATACAACGACCTCTCTTTCCCGCTTAGAAACTTTCCTTGGCTCCCCGTTTCCTGAATGGTACTTTAAGACTGCACGTCTTTCCGTAAACTCAGTAGATCCAGTACTTAAAAATGGTGGTTTTCTACAGTATTAGTTACTTCCCTTGTTGCTGAGACAAAATACCTGTCAATAGTAATATAAGGAAGGAAGGAAGGAAGGAAGGAAGGAAGGAAGGAAGGAAGGAAGGAAGGAAGGGATTTTTGTTTTGTTTGTTTCTGGATTTGCTTTTTATTTTTATTTTTTATGTTAGGATTTCTCTGTGTAGCCTTGGCTCTCCTGGAACTCACTCTGTAGACCATGCTGACCTCGAATTCACATAGATCCACCAGCCTCTGTACACCACCACAGCATGGATGGAAGGGTTTGACCTAGTTTCATCTCAGGAAAGATAAGTGTCAGGTCTAAATGAACTCCATTCAGATGACTATCTGTGGTGCCTATTAGCTTACTAAAACACATTCCGGCCTCCATGCTTGCCAACAAGTTTCAAAAGAACTTGTTACAGAGTTTATGCTGGCACCCTGACAATTCTCACCCTACCCTTTATCCTTGGGCTTCCCTCCCACCAGCTTCTCATTTCCTTATGACCCTGCTATTTTGGTTAGTTACATGCTCTCTTGACTCCCCATCTCTTCCTCTCCTCATCTCTGCCTCCTCTCATGGCCAAGTTCATTCTGGTCATGTTCAGCCCATTACTTTGTCTCTCTGCTCTGGATTCTTCCAGGTGCCTCTGACTGTACCCTCCCTCATATTGACAATGAAACCTTCCTTGGAGCTGTCATGTTGTCAGTGTATGCAGATTGGCAGCAGAAACAGGTCATATGAGAGGGAGATGCTTGTACTCAGGAAGCACCGTCTCCTCTTTATTCCATGGTACCACCCACATTTAGGGTCAGTGTTCCTACTTCAATTAACCTACGCAAGATAATCCCCAGACAGGCCTAGAGATTTGTTTTCCATAGTCATTCTAAATCCCCTCAAATTGGCAAGATTAACCATCACAATTATAGTTTATTTTAAAAAATTAAAGTGAGTGAAAAACTCTCAATTTCTTTCCTCAAATTCCTCCTCTTTAGGCTTTCTCCTCATACTCCACAGTCTCACATAGCCCATGTAAGTATTCAGCCACAGATAAGGCTTCACTTCTGGGTTCTAAAAGCAGGCATGTGCAGATGGGCCCAAGGGCATAAAGGGCCCCACGTGACCCATGTACGCACATGCATGGTTACATCCACGTATGACTCAGTTAAAACCTTTGCACACATGTGTGAGTCGCCCATCTGCATCATCAGTATATAATGTAGTCACGCCAACCCGCTGTGCGCATATGCTAGGCAGTTTTTAAAAGCTGGCCGTGCCATTTCCCTCTCTCTCTCCACACCGATCCCCAGACCTGTACACACCACCTCTAATAAACTCCTAAGCAGGTTTGTTTGTGTTTCCTTTGTTGTTGTTTAATGTTGGCATGTTCTTAATATTAAATATAAGAGAGGTAAAAGTACATATCAGTTTAAAATATGAGACTTATGATTTTGTAGTCTGAAATGAGATGTAATGAATAATTATTATACATAGAAAGAATGAACAGGAATTAGGCAACCTGCATGCTTTTGATGGGCCCTATCAAAGGAATGTCACTATGCAAAACACCTGTAATCAGAGTTAACGAAAGGACTTCAGTGAACACCGAGGAAGGGGGAGAGAGGAAAGGCAGGACATTCATAAGAGTGGGAGAGCTTGGTCACGTGACCTGACTCTCAGTGAATCTAGCGATAAAGTCACCTGACCCCAATGAACATGGCAGCGGCCACGTGTTGTGGGGGAAAAGTTACAATTTTTGAGCTGTAAGAATTTTAAGCTTAATGAAGAGTGACCTAAAGGCGTGATCTGCCCTGTTGCTGAGCCGCCATGCCGAACCATAAGCCGCAGAGGGGGGCAAAAGGCTGGAACCGAAAAAACTGTCCAGTCTTGAATTGTGAAAAACTGCGCAAACAGACAATTTAAAGACGGATAAGTGTGGTGGATTTTAAGTAAGGTATATTTTAGGCTGGAACGACTTGCTTTCTCAGATCAAGACTGTGAAAAAACCCGCAAAAACCGTGGCATCTTGAGCCTACAGCAGGAATGGCTCCCTGTTTAGGTGAGATGCAGATGGATCGAACACCCAGGACATGTGGGTGGGCATCCCCAATCCACGTGCGGGGTGCTATAGGCCGAATCGTATCAGCCAATCCGTCCGTGAGAAAGATAAGAAGGAAGAAAAGAATGAAATAAAGAGAAAGAGAACTGGGGGCCCGGGCCCCCGGGTGCGGGAATGTTGGGAGCTGGCCATTAGCCAAGCTGTCCCAGGCACGGGCTTAACAGAGAATGCAAGCCATAATGAACGCCAGCGAAGGGGCGGAGAAGTCCCCCCCCAGTCTAAAAACAGCGGGAAAACTGATCAATCCCGGGTTAAAAGACTCAGTTAAGCTGGCTAGAGTGGGGAAACTCATAATTAGAAGCCCATGTTGTTTGTAGGAGTCATGGACAGGCAGGTGGAACACGTGGGTCAGTGTTGAGAAAGTCCTCGGTCCTGATTCAATCCCGGAAATTGGAGTTCAGAGTCCTGGACGATACTCAAAGCCAGGACTCCGGCCCTGGGCGGGTGAATCTCTCGAGTCCGCGGCACCAATGTTGTTGTTTAATGTTGGCATGTTCCCCGACAGGCACGCAGAGCAGCCCTAGTCCGACAAGGACGGCTGTGGGTCCCTGCAAGGTCCCCAGGGTGGCAGGCTGGTCCCGCCATGTGGCCCAGAGAGTCAGGTGGGCGGGTGCGGCATATAAAAGGCTCACAGGACATAGTAAATAAACGTAAGGGTAAATATTTATTATTTAAAGAAGAAGGAGAGGAAGAAAGGCAGAAATAGAAAAGAGAACAGAGAGAGGAAAAACATGTGTGCACACGCCAAGAGATGGAGATAGAAGAGAAAGAGTTAAGATGGCGACCAAGAGGTCAAAAGTGGCTGGGAGTGGGCGTGGCTTGCCCTTAAAGGGACCAGAGCAAAAGAATAACATCCTTCTCACTCGCGCCAGGTAATTTCACTGGTACTGAGACTCGAGAGGCTCCCCCGTCAGAGCCCCTCTCCTGTGGTCGTGATCTGGAACCGGGAAATTCTTCTCCACGACAACCACATGTTCCATATGCCTGAGTGCGACTTCTCCGAACAACACCAGCTTCAATTGATGAGTTTCCCCATTCTGGTGAGCTTAACTATTTCTCCAAACCTGAGGAATTGAGCGTTGAGCTCCGGCAACCCTTTGGTGTTCCTAGAAATGGGGCCCAACCGTGGTCTTCAAGGCTAAGGTTGTGGCCTTTGCTGACATTCATCTGTAGATTGCTTCCCTTAGTTGAAATTGTGATTGAACTGACCTGGGGTCAGTTCTCCCATGCTACTACACACTCTGTTCAGTTCATTCGACTGGGGGCCCAGGGTCCCTCAGATTCTTCTTTCTCTTTTTTTTCTATTTCTTTTTTTTTCTTTTTTTTCCTTGCCATAAAAAGGAGTGGCCTCCAGCGTCTCTGGGTTCTGAGTCACTGACTGGATCCAGTCAGGCCTTACCTTCTCACTGGTGGCCTGGGGGACGCCGTCCCACTGATCTTGCAAAGGTTGCACTGATTCATACCCCACCCACAGTCAAGAGACGTCTTACCGTGGGCCTTGTGGTGTCGCTGTTTCTCAGGTTTTCACAGTTTCAACAATGGGAAGCAAGCCATCCAAACCCATCAATCCAACCTCCCCTTGGGATGCCTTTTAGAGGCCCTCAAACCCCAGACC